GTCTGATGGTCTTTGTATTTCTCGTTTTAACTTTCTGTGCAAGGTTGGATTAAGGCTCCATAGAATCAGTAGTTGGTATTGCTGTGGGTGCCTTTTAAGAAACCCTTAATTCGACTGAATGCAGTGTCCAGCGTGGGATTCATTCGAGCCGGTTGATCGAAACTCACAGAATCTGCAACTGAAACTGTTTTTATTGAAATTCATCGATTTTTGCCTTTATCTACAGTGGCACATCGAACTCGATTGGTAAATGATAAAGCTGCTTTGCGTGTCCATCGCTTGCAAGGCAAACCAATATAGACTGAACTGCCAAATTTCAGGTGCGGAAAATCTGGGGTTTGATCCCGCGGCCTGTAGGTTAGAAGTCTAACGTCCGCTGTGTCCTCGATGACCACGGGCCCTATTTTGCAGGAACATGTGAAGCGAAAACGTAAAATCCGCAACGTTTTAATGACCTTGGATAATTATCTAGAATAGCCGGCACAAGAATATGAATACGTACGAATCAATGTATAACATGACGATATCAGCCTTCACACTTTGTAGGGTCTGAAGCGAAAAGTAAACACATAATTGAAGAAAGGTCTCTTTCAAGTGAGGTTAACATGATTGCAGCAGTGGAATCAATCCTTAGTCAGAGGAAGGCAACGGAGGAGACCAAGAGCCTCATCCGACACCAAGTGTCGTCTCTCCTAATGACCCACAGGCCGCGGGAAGTGCTTTCCAAGGTCGAACGTGATGCGCTTAGAGAACTCAAGGCCGACAAAGACTTGGTCATCGTGCCAGTGGACATGGGGCGCTCCACGGTTGTGCTGGACAGGACAGACTACCTTCAAAAAGCCAAAGGTTTACTGGAGGACCGACAGTTCTATGTCCCATGTGCAACGAACCCTGTAAAAGCGCTGACACGCGAAATTAATGCTACGTTGTTGGCCTTAGAGAACTCAGGGGCAATAGCACCGACCGACTGACGCATGGCGAGACCCCAAGATACGGCTTTGGCCCGATTCTATGGCCTCCCTAAGGTGCACAAAGACGGCGCTCCTCTCCGACCCATCGTGTCGCTCAAAGGCACTCCAACGTACGGACTGGCTAAGTGGCTGTTCCGGCGTCTCAAATTCCTGAACGCTGAGTCAGACACTACGGTCTCTTCGTCAGCAGAATTCCTGGAGAAACTCAAAGGGGTAAGCCTCCATCCAAATGAGGTCATGGTATCTTTTGATGTTACATCCCTTTTTACTTCTATTCCCCAGGACCTGGCGATCGAGACAATCGAGCTGCTTCTACAAAGCAAATACGATGAAACGGAGAATCGTCTTGGACGCGCCCAAGTCCTTCAGCTCCTGAAGTTCTGTCTCAGGACGTACTTCACGTTCGACGGGACAATCTACGAACAGGTGAAGGGCACACCATTGCGTTCGCCGATTTCGGGGTTCATCGCCTAGGCGGTCCTGCAACGGTTAGAGTCGCTGGTCTTCCAACACCACAAACCGAAGTTCTGGGCCCGGTATGTGGATGACACCTTCGTCGTTATCGATCGGGATCAACTGCTGACATTCAAGGAACCTCTGAATGCGGTCTTCCCGGACATACAATTTACGATGGAGGAGGAAGAGAAAAATCAGCTGGCCTTCCTGGCTGTCCTCGTATGCCGCAAGGATTGTGGTGGACTAAAGACCAAAGTGTTCAGGAAAGCTACAAATACGATGCAACTACTGAACTTCAACAGCAACCACCCAATCAGTCACAAACGCAGTTGTGTAAGGACGCTCTATCGGCGTGTCGAAACGCACTGCAGTGAGCCGGAAGACAAGATTGCCGAACTACAATACCTCCGACGGGTCTTCAAAGCCAATGGCTACCCGCGCAACTTTGTCGACCGGTGCATACACAAAATGGACAAAAGGCCTAACCGCACGGACACCAAAGTTTGGCGTGCGCTTCCATATGTCAAGAACGTTTCGGAAGCTGTTGGCCGCCTTCTCGCACCACTTGGGGTTGGAGTTGCACACAGGCCGGAGGCAACCATCAGGCGTCAACTGATGAAACCAAAAGACCCACTGCCACGGCAAGAAACGTCTGTAGTCGTTTATCGGATCTGGTGCAGTTGCGGAAAAAGCAACTACGTCGGAGAAACCGGAAGACAGCTCCGAACGCGAATGGCCGAACACGCTGCAGCAGTGCGGAGAAATGACGCCAGCTCTCAAGTTGCGGCTCATTCGACGGGTTCCGGCCACACATTCAAATTTGACGAGGCCGAAATTCTCGCAAGAGGTGACAACCGCGTGAGCCGGGAGCTGCTTGAGTCATGGTTTACTAGCCCCCAGTCTATTAACAAGTGCAATGATCTTCCCATTCAATACAGCGTGCTGAGACTTCGTCTAGGCGGAGTAATTGGCCACGCGAGGAGCGCACTGGTGAACACTCTTCCCAACACCCGGGTCAACGCGTCAGATGGTCGAGCAATCATCACACCAACATCCAACGCACGGGATGAAATTGCGGCAATTAACGACGCGAATATCGGCCATCACACCACGGGCAACGAACCCTGATGAAGGGGAGGGAGCCGTGAATATTCATAGGCATGCGGTAGCATGGTTACTGCGTCCTATAAATACTGCAGCCGCATGTGCATGAGCCACCCTTATCTGCTTATGTCACTGATGATGGATTCGAGCAGGAATCCGAAACGTCAGGCTAATAAAGCTCTTGTCCCGGCGATCGTGTCTTCTTCTTCAAGATCGCTTCCTGGTACTCGTCTCTTCGCTTCTATTGGCCTGTGAGTGATCTTGCTAAAGGGAATACTGTTCTAGGTTATTTGATGCGGAGGAGCAAAGCACGCTTTGATTCTTTCGGCTTTATAATGTCAGAACAGGGGGAGGCCTGTGATAGTCGGTATTTCATGAAAATCGGAGGGGGGTGGGGAAGCTCAAACAGGTTAGCAGCTTAGAACGTGAAATTTGGGGAAATTCACGTAGCTATTAGCGAACAGCTGACTTACAGCGCATTTATTCGAAAGTGAGGGAGGAAGATAAGCACCTTCCAAATGACACTTTGCAGAAAAACATTCTACATCTGAATTTAGGATTCTGGCTTAGGCCAAAATGCCTTCAGATGTCAGAATATAGAATCAGAGACTGGACGCTGAGGAAGCCTCGTTTATTTTTTGCTTCAGACCCCACAAAGTAGGAGGACAGATGGTGTCATGTGATATGTTTATCTGTACGTATTGATATTCTCGAGTCATCTGTTTCATCTCGAGCCGAATCGATTCAGAGGGGACTAGATGGGAGTTATTATGTCTTAAGACATTCCACTCGCAATACTTAATGCTTATAGTTTTATGGACCACGAACGATTTACTTCACACGATGGTCCCAGATCGCACGTATTTGAACTCCCTCGCAGAAAGTCGGGGAGAAAGATGAGCACCCTCCGCATGGGACTCTTCAGAAACACTTTCATATCTTAATTTGGGAATTCAGCTTAGGCTGAAATGTCCTCAGATATTTCGATCCAACCTACGTTCAAAGAGTTAGCGGGAGATTTACCTCGCATCATAGTTTGAAATCGCAAGGATGTCAGGCCTCCGCAGAAAACCACGAGTAATTTCACCATAGTTGGAGGAATGAATGTGGGGGAGTGTAGAGTTTTTGAAATGCCAGAACATTAGGGGGTTTGCCGTATTCGTGATTTCACGGGTATCTGGGTGGATAGCACGAATACGTTAGTATCTTCAGTGAGATTTGGCGAAATTCACGTAATTACTAGCGAACGGCGGACGTGTATCGCATTTCTTCGAAAGCGAGGAAGGAGGATAAACCCCTGCCGCATGAAACTATTTAAAAACACCTTTCAGATCATAGTCTGGAATTCCAGCTTAGGCCGAAAGGCCTTCAGATGTTTCGATCTCCCTTGCATGTGAGGAAATAGAAGCAGGAGGTGAAGGCTGAGCACGCTCTGTTTATTTTTTGCCTCGAACCCCACAAATTGTTGGGTCATGCCATATGTTGATCAGTACGTTTTCATGTTCTCGTGTCACCTATTTCATCTCGAGACGAATCGATTCAGAGGGGATTAGCTGGGACTTATTATGTTTTAAGACATCTGTAGCGGGCAGCCATCATGACCGGTCTGGTGTCCTCGCTGCCTCAAGGTCATTCACCCCTTTGCAGTGAGCCGTTCCAGACGCGCTGACCTGAAGTCACACGACCGACAGCGCGGGCATACCTGCATCCGCACAGCCGCAGCTGCCCATGCGGCCACTTGAACGCATCTCCCCCCTGCAACCACAACCTAAGCCACTGGGACACCACCCCTCGGCAAATGCAACACACACTGTCTGGACGCCACTTGAGCTTGGCTCACGAGCCAACAAAAGTCGCTGCCACCACTATCTCAAGGACTCTCAGGCGTGACTGGACGCAGTCAACACCAGCCCTGACTTCACCGGTGGCCACTGCCGCCTGAGAGGACAAATCCGGTTTCTGTGCACAATAAACTCCTCATTCTGGGGCCTTCCTTTGTGTGCAGAATGCACACACTCGCACCACCTGGTCACGACACATCTGACTGTCAATACTCAATGCTTGTAGTGATATGAAGCACGAGCGATTTAACTTACATGATAGTCTGTATTCGCACGGATGTAAGCCGTGCTGTAGGATGTCATGAGTAACTGCACCATAATTAGAGGAATGCATGTGGGAGGGGAAATATGCGTGTGACAAAGTCTAACAGAATTCTCAGTCCATTATGATGCTTCGGCTGTGAAGCTGACATGGTCATCGGTTGCGTGATCACAGGTCAACCGGGCAGATGCAAAATCAGCCAATCATCGAATTAGAATGTGCACGGCAAATCGTGTTGACGCCACTAGACCATATCAGCCAATCATGGTACAGGCAGTGGGCCTCTCACTTTGCTCGACATAGTATAAATAGACGGTGTCAGCCTTAAGACGGTGTGATCCCGTCCATAAAGTTGATCAACTCGAGATGAAACTGCAGCTCCACCTCCTTCTACTCACGGCCATCGTTTTGGGAACGTCGATGAACGGCGCTAGGGTGTACGCAGCGGATAAGGAACATGCTGAAAAGGAGACGGAGACACCCCTGACTGGCGCTTGGGGCGGTGGCGGTGGTGGTGATCGTTGGGGTGGTGGCGATGGTGGTGACCGCTGGCATGGCGGCGGTGGCGGTGGTGGCCGCTGGCAAGGCGGTGGTCGCAAGTGGTAAAGCCCCTGAAGGCAGTGTTGCATTCCACGTCGCCATCCGCGTCTGGGACTGCTATGAGTTGTCAGATTTTAAATAAATTTTGAAAAAAATGTGCATCCTTTTGAACAACTTCTCCGGGTCAGGACTGCTAGTCGCGACAGCGGCAGTGTCTGATGGTCTTTGTATTTCTCGTTTTAACTATGCAAGAGATGGAGAGAGACTGAGAGAGAGAGAATGAGAGAGAGAGAAGGACAAAGACTGAGAGAGAGAGGGAGAGAGAGACTGAGAAGGCGTGAGAGATAGATAGATAGACCCTGAGAGAGGGAGAGACTGACAGATAGAGAGTCTGAGACTGAGAGTCTGATAGAGACTGAGAGAGACAGAGAGAGACTGAGGGAGAGATAGATAGATAGAAAGACTGAAAGAGAGAGAGTTAGTCTGAGTGAGAGAGATAGATAGAAAGACTGAGAGAAGTAGAGAGACTGAGAGATTGGACTTAGGCTCCACAGAATCAGTTGTTGGTGGTATTGTTGTGGGTGTCTTTTAAGAAACCCTTAATTCGATTCTGAATGCAGGGTCTAACGCGGGATTTATTCGAGCCGCTTGATCGAAACTCATAGAATCTGCAATTGAAACTGTTTTTTATTGAAATTCATCGCTGTTTGCCTTTATCTACAGTGGCATATCGAACTCGATTGGTAAATGATAAAGCTGCTTTGCGTGTCAATCGCTTGCAGGACAAACCAATATAGACTGAACTGCCAAATTTCAGGTGCGGAATATCTGGGGTTTGATCCCTCGGCCAGTTGATTAGATATCTAATGTCCACTGTGTCCTCGATGACCACGGGCCCTATTTTCCCGACCAGGTGCAGAGAAAACGTAAAATCCACAACGTTTTAGTGACCTTGGATAATTATCTAGAATAGCCGGCTCACGAATATGAATACGTACGAATCAATGTATAACATGACGATATCAGCCTTCACACTTTGTAGGGTCTGAAACGAAAAACAAACACAATTGAAGAAAGATCTCTTTCAGATGAAGTTTTGGAATGAGTTCGATATTTAGGCAATATTTGGGCATTCAGAGTGTTCTAAGCGTTCCTTCTATCTTCCGCTAGGTCTTTGCATATGGGTTGGATCGAAACATCTGAGGGCATTTCGGCCTAAGCTGAATTCCCAAACTAAGATCTGGAAAGTGTTTCTGAAGAGTTCCATGCGGAGGGTGCTCATGTTTCTCCCCGACCTTCTGCGGGAGGGTTCAAATACGTGCAATTTCGGACTATCGTGTGAAGTAAATCGTTCGTGGTCCGTATAAATATAAGCATTAAGTATCGCGAGTGGAATGTCTTAAGACATAATAACTCCCATCTAATTCCCTCTGAATCGATTCGGCTCGAGATGAAATAGATGACTCAAGAATATCAATACGTATGGATAAACATATCACATGACACCATCAGTCCTCATACTTTGTGGGGTCTGAAGCAAAAATAAACGAGGCTTCCTCAGCGTCCACTCTCTGATTCTATACCCTGACATCTGAAGGCATTTCGGCCCAAGCCAGAATCCTAAATTCAGATGTAGAATGTTTTTCTGCGAAGTGTCATTTGGAAGGTGCTTATCTTCCTCCTTCACTTTCGAATAAATGCGCTGTAAGTCAGCTGTTCGCTAATAGCTACGTGAATTTCCCCAAATCTCACATTTTAAGCTGTTAACCTGTTTGAACTCCCCCCCCCCTCCGATTTCCATGAAATCCCGACTACCACAAGCTTCCTCCTGTTCTGACATTTTAAACATTATAAAGCCGAATGACTCAAAGCATGTTTTGCTCCTCCGCATCAAATGTCCTAGATGATTGGGCCTACGTGCCTTATAACTGCCGCCTGTCCTGTTTCTGCCACTACCTCTGACGATGGACTCCTGTACGAGTCTGAAAGCCCAGGATAATAAACGAAATGTTCCGGTGCTCGACTCTCCTTCTTCACTTATGCATATTCCTGAAACTAGAAATTCCGCCTTCATTCGTGAAAAATTCTGGCGCGATGCGCTTCGGACAGCTCTCAGTTGGGAGTTATTCTCTACACGAGAGGCAGCAACATACGAACAGTTACGTTTTCTGCACCGATGTCTCCAAGACAAACTAACCCCACGATGCCTGAGATATAAAGCTCCCGTTAATACGGCCATGGGAAGAGAAGTTGTGAGGCGGTTTGTCAAACAGATGACAAGAGTTCTGATCGACGACTGTCATCGGCGTTTGCAGAAGTACAAGGCTGAGATCGAGGAGAACAGAAGGCAATGTGTCCACACTCTCGGCGATTCTATCGCCGCAGATCTTGGGAAGACGATCTCTGCTCTGGCACACCACAGGCAAGCCGAGAAGAGAGAAATTTTGGAACGGAAACTGACTAAGCTAAAACCACCAGGCACAGAAAGCTCAAACTTGGTCCACAACCTCTCGTCTAAGCAGCTAACAGAGCAGCAACTACGAGTGTTACAGCATGAAACTTGTTTCAACACTGCAGATGCCGATCCTGTCGACTTCGTTGCAGCCCTGGAAGCTATGCTTGTGAGGAGTGAAAAATCCGACGAGATGAAACACTCCGTCCGACAGCGTGTTACTTCCTTGCTGATGACACACAGACCAACCAAATGTATTTCGCAGAGTGAGTCAAAGGCTATGAGGGAACTGAGGAGGGACGACAGCATTATCATTCTACCTGCTGACAAGGGACGATCAACCGTCGTGATGAATAGAGAAGACTATGATGAAAAAGCTAAAACCCTTCTTGACGACAGAGAATTTTACAGACCAGCACAGAAGTCGCAAACCAAAGCAGTGGCAGATCGGCTGAGTAAACTGCTTAGAGAATACCGACATAAAAATGTGATCACGGAGAATGAATGGCACCAAATGAGGGTAATTGACACCGGTCTAGCCTGATTCTATGGTCTGGCAAAAATCCATAAGGCAACTGTCGCACTTCGGCCAATCGTTGCCCTAAAAGGCAGCCCCACGTACAATTTGGCAAAGTGGATGTACCCAAAACTGAACTTCCTCCAAGGCAATTCGACTACCTCAGTTCGATCAGCCTCTCAATTCCTCATAGACCTCCGAGGTTGGAGAATTCAATCGGATTTAATCATGGTCTCCTTCGATGTGACGTCGTTATCCACATCCATCCCACCAAACGTGGCCCACGAAGTCATGCTCAAGAGACTCAGAATGCCCTCAAAACTGAACACCTCATGAGACTGTTTGAATTCTGCCAACAAACTTTCTTCACTTTTGCGGGAGAGACCCATGAACAAATCAAGGGAACCCCAACGGGCTCACCGGTCTCCGGTTTGGTGGCAAAACTGGTCCTACAGGAGTTAGAAAAGATTGCCTTCCTCCAACATGAACCGGTGTTTTGGCGCCGTTACGTTGACGACACGTTCGTCATCGTAAAGAACGACATGCTGCAACATTTCCACAGCCTGCTCAACGCAGTATTCCCTGATATAAAAATCACGAGGGAAGAAGAACAAGAACAGCAGTTGCCCTTCCTGGATGTGCTCGTCAGACGAAACCTTAACGGTGAACTTGAAACGACGGTTTATAGGAAAGCAACGAACACCACAGCTTCTCAGTTTTCACAGCAACCATCCGGTGGCTCACAAACGAAGCTGTGTGAAGACGCTCTTCAAACGGATCCAAATTCATTGCAGCAAACCGGAGGACAGAGCACGTGAGGCCCGTTATCTCCGCGACCAGTTTGTGCAAAATGGCTATCCGAAGGCATTCATAAGTCGCGGCCTACGCGGTCGCCACCAGAGAACTCAAACATCAACGCCACCGACGATATGGCATTCTCTGCCATACATCAAGGGCGTTTCAGAAGCGACCGAACGTATTGCTACCGAGCGAGGTGTTGGAATTGCACACCGCCCCAAGCCACCATGCTCAATAGGGTCATGAAAATCAAAGACCGGTTAAGACCTGAAGAGCAATCTGGAGTAGTGTATCGCATTCCGTGTCAAAATTGTCCTTGTAACTCCACATGACAGACTGTACGCATGCTCGGATCGCGCATACACGAACATAAGCTGGCTGTACGGCGAGGCGACGCGTATCACAAGTGGCCGCCCACACCTTCGAAATGGGTCACGAGTTTGACTTCGCAGCCACCAAAATAGTCGCCCACGCCGGAAGCAAAACAGGCCAAGAATTGATTGAAGCCTGGGCCTCAGATGAGAACTCGGTCAATCGATTTATCGATCTGGCGCCGGCGTACAGAGCCCTTCGTAGTCACCTCCAGCCGTGCGACTTCGGTCGATGATTGGGCCTACGTGCCTTATACCTGTCGCCTGTCCTGTTTCTGCCACTACCTCTGACGACGGACTAATGTACGAATCCGAAAGCCCAGGATAATAAACGAAGTGTTCCGGTGCTCGACTCTCTTTCTTCACTTAAGTCTTCCCTTTAGCAAGACCACTCACAGACTTAATGGTCCGTCCATAACGCAGCATTTATGACACTCTCATGAATGCGAGATTGTCCGAGTCGTCGCGTGAAATCCTGGAACACGCTGTGGTGTCCATGTCGTGTGTGGCAGGCGTATAGGGCCCACAAGTCCAACTCTGTTCGTCCTGGCATTGCCTGTCATCGGAGAAGGACCAACCGTTCAGACTAACGCTCGTATCTTCGTTGTTCCCTCCGACTATCAAACCGTCTGCATCTCACCTACAAATTACTACTCCTCATACTTAGCCAACTTCTACTCCTTCCTATGAGACATTAGGTCAGCGAAGTGGTTCGTACAGATGAAGACATGGTGCGCCTGTTCTAGCTCATCCTCTTACCAACAACTGAGTACTTAGGGCAAGGTATACCGGTGAATCTGCACGTAGGCGGAACAGGTCTGCAGTTCGAATAGGAAGTGGGGGAGGGGGGAGCTCTAAGGCCACAGTGACTACGACCGATCATAGGAACCGTCAGTAATTCGAGCCACTGTCTGCACCACGCCGCATTTGTGGATATCATTTTATTTTGACAGTCAGTGTAGGCAAACAGGTTTACGTGGATGGGGACGCATGCTGCAGTTGTTCGGCCACGATAAGTTGTTTGATGCGTATAGATGGCTATTCCAGGGTGATAGACTGCTGTTTATCGTCTTGCATGATGAGGCAGTATGGTCCACACAAGCTTGTCAGCTAGATCAGACAAGAATACATCTGCAGTAGGTAAAAGTGGAATGTACAACGGCGATTGCCGCCAAACGCATCGATTAGCCTGACCGATTCCAGTACGCCATCAGTTGAAGCCCGCAACTCCCCTCCATGCCTCCATGCAACCATACTCATCACATCGGTCATAACCTGGTAACCGCGCATGATCACATCGCTACTGCAGATGACAATTTGGATTAAGTATAGACTGAAGGATTCGGTGGATGCGACGGTACCGGACTCATTCATTTATTGCGTGTCGTTATAGTGAGGAAATCGATATGGCTTCGAGCCGGCTGATAAGTGGTGAACGACTGTCAGGATAAAACTAGCAGTCTACCACCAGACTACTCTGGCACTTTTCGGTGATAGAGAATCTCACAGACTGGACAACTTCTTACCGTAGGCACGATTTTCTATTGGGAGACAACAAATGATGCCTGCAATGTCTGCGTCCATTCTTTCTCAAGGAAGAGCTGTCCATATCATCTTGAATGGGCCGACGAATAGTTGTGCGGACAGGAAGTGGGAAGTATCAAGGTCCATCTGGTTGAAACGCAGAGTTCTTGCGCTCTCGCCCTTCCTAGTCCAGGGAGTGGCTACGTTTGTTATGCCAGCTATAATACTTTTAGTAAGCTAAACATATGGTATCAATGAAGTGGGGCTGCAGAACCAAACCTCGTCCTATTTGGAGATCCCAAATGATGTCTGCAATATCGGCGTCCACTCTTTGTCAAGGGTGTGCAATCGAGGTCATTGTAAATGCGCCGGACTAATTTTTGTTCGGACAGTAATTAGTATTTAGCCATCTACACCTTGGTTGAAACGCTTATTGCAGCTCGTGTCCAAGAAGTGCGCCTTAACCATCAGCTGCCTGCTTAGTCCTTAAATTATCTGGCAGACTTCCCTCTCCACACGGCTCCTCACACGCAAAACTCTCTACCGCGGCAAATCTGGCTTGTTAATTTTAACTGCTACTCACCAGCTAGGGGGAGCCATGTCTGTCGGAAATAGTTCTGGACATTCCACACGGGCGCTTTGATGGAAAGAACACATTTGTTTAATAACATGTGACACAGGTGTTATTGAAGTATCCATCAGTGTATTAAGAAAAAAACACTTAGATATTCCACATGGTTGCTTTGATGGAAAGTCCATCATGTATCCTGTTATGAAATCATCTTAACTGGAATATTTCACGATGTAGTAGCTAATTTTAAAAACTGGATTCATTTGCACTCCCTAGTCGTCGGGCGGTCTCTTTCGCGGTATTGCACCGTGACCTACTTTGTCTCATTCGCGCATATTGCAACTTTAGGCAAAATAATGGATGTTACTGTGCCCATTAAACGCAATCTCTGGTCGATTGATACACTTAATGAGGTTACTTTCAAGATAGCTACATATCAGAGTGTGTGAGGACAGGCATGCGGATAAATTGCCTAAATTCCTATCGCAGGCAACAAGCGCGTGATCATGTAGGAATTTGGTGTCTGCATGCAAGCGCAGTATTGCTTTGGCGTTGGTGAACTCCGCATGCTTGCGGAGTATGCTGACCTAGGTGTGTGGGGATGCCAACCGCTGCGACCGCATATGTTACGGTAGTTTGAAAGCGCCTACAGGCGACAGGGGGCAATGCAAGAGCAATTAGCGCCAGTGTAAATGTGGGTGGTCATTGTGCTCCGAACTGCGGACGAATAAAGGGGTCAAGGTGAGGGAGATATGTGGCCGTCTGTATTGGTCGATCGCGGACGTCATAGCAACATGTCGACAACGTGACCAGACCCAACACTGACGAATGGACCTGCATTTACTCGAGTGACAATTTCGGCAGGGGCAATTAAACGGTAATAAGCGCAGGTGCAAATGCGGGTGGTAATTGCACGGCGAAGAGCGACATTTACCAGTATCATCGTTCCACTTTGACCGCCCTGTCCGATCACAAGCCAAGCGTCACGTCACGGCGAGGGATAGCAGTGGCTGCGGTGACACCTGTCCAAAAAGTGGTGCAGGATACAATCGCACCTTTGACCGCGGAAGTTTACCCGCTTTCTTTCAAATTTGCAAAAAATATGTTGACCTCTTTCGATTGGATGCATTAGGGAAAGTGTAATTGCCGTCAAATGCTACAAAATAATTTTAGAGAATGTTGTAGAGTGGGCGCGACCTGTTTTGTGTTTGGCAAGGAGAAATGTGAAAGATGTGGTTATGTAGCCCCACCTGATGGACACAATACTGTTGGACTTGGGGTTAGAGGTTAGGGTTGGGGTTTGGGGCAACTATTTCTCAACTTCTCAAATTACAACCGTGCATTCCCAATAGCTGTTCTTTTACATAAAACTACTTGACATCGTCACCTGTGCGTCTCCTGGCCCCACCTACAGAAACCCCTATTACCACCAGTCCCGTATTACAGGGGGCTGGGGTTTGTTTACTTCAGGTGGGACCACGTAAGCACAAATGACCGACAAATGAATCAGGACCAATTCCCGGACGACAGTGTCCTCTAGCCAGTGACTCACTAAATCCGAAATGCCTTATGACCAGATATTGGTGAGGTGAGCTCAATTCGCGTTTTCACTCTTTGTGTCATAAATGCTCTAAGCATGTTCACGTAATCCCCTCAAGCAGGATAAATCTCTGACTTAATGCCTCCCTCTAAATGCAGCATTATTGGCACTCTCACGCATGTGAACTCAGAGTCGACTCCATGTAACTCTGGTACATGGATTGGGGACAAGTCTGTATGTCTACGTGTCATGAATCAGAGTCTGGTAGGTGGGGAGGACGAGAATACGGTAGATCCTGCACAATTCTGTGTCACAAGTCGGCGATGCTTGGGTCACTCTGTGGGGCACACTGTTGCCGTCGTCCTTCGGCACATCTGAGCGATCAACCGAACCAATCGTCCGAACGAGCCCTAGTACTCCCATTACTTCCTCCAATTGTCAACCATGTTTATAAATACTATGATCTTTAATCGCATAAAAACGTTTGTGCTTGTAATTTACAATGAACTAGGCTGATTTCTGCTGCTAGGATACCGAACCGGAGGATAGGTTTATGGGTTGGCAAAGAGTTCGGAGTCCTTGCCAGGCAATGTCAACACAGCGCAGGCGATATGTAAACAGAATTCAGCGTCGATGATTGGACCTTGTTGCAAAACACTGTACTACAACCTCGAAATATATTGAAACGACAGCAAGAACTAATTCACTCAGCCGAGCTCAGCTGTTCTGACACCAGGCCCGCAGGACGGAGCCACTTTTGAAGCGACCATCATGCTGCCTCCTAGGGACATCGTGATTATGCAGGTAGGAATAGTGGGATAGTATTCAGAGTCCTTAGCAGTCGCCCTTAGTACTGCCTTGATTGACAATGACAGTATTATATATTTACAATATATCGTCGAAACCGTCAGGCCCCAAGCCGGCTGAAACTGACCGTTTAAAAATAGGAGAGTACAACATTATTTATCGCAGTTTCATCTATGAATGGAAATCAAGCGTTCATTAGCACACGAC